AACTAAAATATGTATAGACCTTCTCAATACTGTATTGTTGTGGCAATAAATGATTTCTAGTGGGAAAAGAAAAGAAAATTCTAAATAAAATATAAATAGAACATACCAATTAGAACACAAAAGCCTTTATATTTTATGACAGAATTTTAATATCAAATGATTTTCAATTTTTTCATAAAACAATTTTTAATAGAAAAAGCATATTTTGTTCAAAGAACATTTTCAAATGAAAGTTCAAAGTTGAATGTTGCTTTGGTAACACTTTCTATTAATCTGATATTTTCATATTACTACCACTAGTGCATTGGCAGAATGCCAGTGAATAAAACTGGATGGCATTTGTTCGATTGTCACAAGAGGTTCGAATAATTTTCGTCGGTATTCTAAAGTAAAAAGCAGTAGTTCTATGTATCTGTAAGAATTTTTATGTAACTCGATAGGTGAATCCTCGAGCGATCGCAATCATACTTCATATAAGATTATTCAAAATTAAGTACGGTTGCAGATCCGGAGGTCCTGGAATCGAGTCCCGAGTTGAGCCAAGTTTTAGTAAGTCTCAGTAACAGCCCGGAGGAGAACGTCTTCATCATTATTACCTATGTAAAAAACTTACCTTATTTATTCGTTTGTAAAATTGTCAGGACTGCAAATATTTCTTTAGTTAATTCATTTAAAGTTAATTTAAACATTTTAGTGTTTAAAAAAGACACATACAATCAATTTATCCTTATTTCCTGTAAAGCACGTCTAAGTGGACTAATGATATAAAATAAATTCACATAGACCTTGTGTCTTCCAGCTTCTACTTCATTTCCCATATCAAAAATGTTGAATGTACCTATGTAAAAATCTTAATCCCATTTCTATTTTTAATTAAACTAAAAAGAGGAGAATTGAGAATAATAACGGTGTATGGTCTTCTTGTATATTACGTTGTATTCTACGCGATATTTTCGACGAATTTTGCACCAATAATAAAAAATGCTATATGAAATACCTAGAGTGCAGGTATTCATACTAATTACTAATAATAATTATAAATGTGAAAGTGTGTTTGTTTGTTTGTTTGTTTGTTTGTTTGTTTCTTTGTTTGTCTTTCTTTCACGTAGAAACGGCTTGGCGAGTTGGCGTGATTTTCTATGTCGAGATTGTTGGAGGGCTGGAGAGTGACATAGGCTACTTTTTACCGTGGGAGATTTTCTTTTTCCCACGGGAAAACACGATATAATACAATGCAAAAAAATATTTATGATCAGAATTATTTGAAACTTGGTATAAATGCTCTTCGATACAATTAATTTTATACATGTTATAGCATTTTTTGAAATTCATCCCATAAGAGGGTAAAAAGTTTGTATGAAACCTACCATTTTGTAGTTTCTGCGCGATCAAAGCCGCAGGTTCTGTTATTCATATTATAAATTGCCAAAAAAATCTACTTAAATAATAGAAATTGGGATTTACTTTAATTTGAAGACAACATTTGTATACCTACATACATAGGTACTATACATAATATGAAGGCTAATTATTTATTTTCCTCTTAAATTAAGAGTGAACATCACACATCATTTATTCTCAAGCTAAATATAGAAAGTTGACCCATTTTACTGACCTTCTTAATATGACCTAGTAAAGTTTTTTAATTTTTTATACAACATTTTAACTTTCGTTTTAGTTTTTTAAGACTGAATTTTACTTAAAAAAGCTTATTTTTTTAATTCATTTCGACTCTTGACTTATTAGGATTCCGTGTTATTTGTCCGATGAGAAATAAAAACTTTATTGGATAACTTGTGTGTTAGTCTGTCCGTCAGTCATAGCCTAATTTCATTATTTACTAGACCAAAAATGATGTAATTTTTAGCAATATAATAAATCGAGTTGGCTTGCCCACTGTTGGCCGTACGTAATTAATTCTGAATTGCAAATTTACAGAACAAACTAGAATTCAAAAAGATCACGTGCTTTATGTAGATATTCAGCCCTTTTTAACGTCCCACTGCTGGGCATGAGCCTCCCTTCAGTACGAGGGGAATCTGGTCATAGTCCACAACGCTGGCCATAAGTGTTGGTTTATATGATATATTAAATAAAAGGGCTCGTTATGAAGGGTTCCAGCACAGGATCGGTGACTTGGAGTGTTCTCCGAGGCACGAGTGAGTAACTACGAACTTCCACTGAATATTATTGAAATAAATCCACATTTCTTTTTGATCTTTCGTGGGAATCGAACGCAAGACCTCCTGATATACAGCCATTTAACTGTAGAATACTATGAGTTATATTAGGAATAAATTGAATTTTTAACAACTGAATTGACAGGAATCTTAAGTTCTATCATATGACGACGAAAGCTTGAAATGCCTAACTTTAAATTTGGCTGAAATCCAAATCATCTTTCAAGGTCTTTATCATTTAAATTACCAATCTGGTTCAGGGACAGCGAGAGGATCGCGCAGGCCTTCTGAAGTGAAGGCCGCGGGTTTTCTCATATGGCGTGTACCTAAAGTAGCCCGTAACAAAAGAAAATGTTGAAAAAAGAGTAGTTGAAAACTTTCATTTTTTACAATTCAATACAATTTTCTTGTAAAGATTTCTAAGTAAACTGGCATTCCAGTTCAGTATTTTCTTACCCAATGCCATTTAGAATCGTGAACACATGATCTAAAGTCTAGATAAAGAAAGAATTATAGTCTAGATTCTAAACGATAAATTCCTACAATAGAAAATCCTGTATAACTAAAACAATGGAATTTTCATAAACTTCTATCAACTATTGAGTAGAAATCTTGTCCCGGATAGCACGTTTCCTAACTAATGACCTATCCGATAATTACCTACTTACTTATCCCATGGAAACTCTTTTCTCTTGGGATAGAAAAGAACCCTATATGAGCATTCGTACCTAAATTTATATTAATAGTGAAAATACCATTAATAAGTTTAGCTTTTCTTAAGAAGTAAAACATACTCAGACAATATTTTTTAAATAGTGTTCATCAGTTCGGAAAGAATAAGCCTCAGACCTGAGAAGAACTGGCAAAAGAAACTCAGTATAGTCTATCTGTGTAGGTATTAAATTTTATCCAAATCTGTCCAGCCGTTTGCTATGTGAAATAGTAACAAACATACACATTAACACGCATACGAGCTTTTGCATTTACATATAATAGAGCATCCATAAATACGTGAGTTGTTTTTATTTCAATTCAGACTCCTCCCCTTTATGGTAAGACTAGCGACTCACCCTTGCTTCTCTTCTGTTTCATTTCAAGACAAAAACATATCTATCCCACGGGAACTGTTTATTTTTTCGGGATAAAAAGTAACCTATGTGCTATTCCAGACTATAATCTATCTCTGTGCGAAATTTCATTCAGATCCGTTCAGCCGTTCTGGTGTGAAAGAGTAACAAACATCCATACTCACAAACTTTCACATTTATACAGATATTAGTAAGTATGGATTAAATGAGATTTGGTGGGACACCCACTCTCCCTCATGTGAGATTTACGCTAAAGGACTATATATAATTTCATAAAGCATAAAAATTGAACAACATTTAGGTACTCTCGAAATATACCTATTTTTATAGTAACAATGACATTATTTCAGTGAGCAAAAAGGGACAATTAAAAAAAACGAATTACCTATAATTTTTTTATTATCTGTATAATATATTATGTTCTTTTAAAGTTCACATGAGATTTTCTAACAATTTTTTTCAGTTTAATTTCTTTACGTGTTTTCTATTCTGCTTTTTAATATTTTATTTCACTTTAAATCACTAAATACTAAGAATAACTTTAAATAAATGAAAAAAATATTATATAATAATTATGCTTTATCTATATTTTCCTAAGTTTTCTACTAACGATTTCGCTTGTAGCTAAATTGAATGGTGGCAGAAGTTATACTAAGTAGGTATTTAAATAATAAAATAGAAAATGATAACCCAAAGATAGAGCCGTTAATAAATAAAAGCCTTAAATAGTATTAGGTATTTATTAAATACTAATTGTTTATTATCAAATCAAAATTAAAATAATGTAACTACATCCAATGGGAATCGAACCCACAAAACTTAAAATTATCCTTAATAGTATCATTGTGTGTGTCAGTGTATTACTAGGTCGCTCAATAATAATTATCATTTGTTTGACCGACTTTAAAAAAGAGGAGGTACTCTAATCAGATGTAGGTTTGTTTTTTGGCATAATAACCTATAAATACTTATATATTAACCAAAACCTCCAAATAATACCCGATTTTAACGAATATTTTTTTAAGTTTTACTTAAGCATGAAATTTAAAAAAAAATTAAAAGTTAAAATTGATTGAGTTGTATATTTTTAGTTATAATAGCAAGTTGTTATTGTGTAACTAAGGATTAAGGATAAAAATGAAATGAATGAAACTCGGGTTTTTTATATATTTAGAACAAGAAATGTATAGTTACAACCATTGAGGATATTAAATATCATATTGTAAAAACTATTGTATAAAGTGAAGAGAATGTGACAATTTTTTCATATTTTTTTTATTCAATTATAATTAATTCCAATAAATTAATAATTATAGACACATAAATTACGTGAAAATATTAATTAATGAATAAATTACTTAAAACAGCCAAGTAACTACAGATGTAAATATTTTGGTTAATAATGCCTTATTTTAGGAATGAGTATTTTCAAAAATTTCTACCGAACTTCAAAGAAAGTACGGTGGTGCGATTTTCCAAGGCGCAGCTGTTTAATATCCACCCATTAGGGTTCACTGCGAGTTGGAAAACCACATACTTACAAAATATAGGGAACAACATTTAGTCTAATCGACTCCGTACTAGCTTTCACAGTTGTTAGATAAACTACGACATAGCTATGATATAAAGCAACTAACGCCCTACGCTCCCGCCCTTACACCCAATCCAACCCTTTTCTTATAGCCTGTCTTAATTTATTAATAACTAGGTAAGGTTTTGTACGAAGCCCTTAAGATGACGCTAAAACTGACTTGTCTTGGAACTTTTCAGCTTTCAACGGGAAACGAACGGTTGCGTGACCCGGTGACCTAAAATTTGGAAAATAGGCATTTTTACAATCCAAAAATAATATTTCAATGGGTTTTTGTACTTGTTTTACGCTCTCTATACAAGATAGGACTAAGTAATTGGGGTTAATGTTATTTGTATATTATTTGAAATTTGCAACCGTTCCATTTCCGTTAAGAATTTTTTATATGAAAATATGCTACTATATCAGGAACAGTAGTTTAAAACGCAGCTTTTAAATTAGAATCGTGTGAACTTCGTCTTTTGTAACATTTTGTGTTAAGCTTTGTGACATAATAATCATTTTAAGTTTTAGTTATTACATAACTATCACTATTTTATATTATAACAGTTTACAACGTATTTTCGTGCTTTAGACTGAACACAAGGAGCAAAAGACAGAGCTTACACGAACCTACTCCAAAACCGCTACAAACTCAGGTTTAGCTTCAATCTTATTCTCACTACGGTATCTTGTGCAAATCAAACGTCTTCACAAAAGCTATAATGAAGTAGAGGTAATCGTTTAAACAGACAATAAGAATATAGAAATACCTAATATTAGGTATGCGACGTAAGCAAGCTGTGCTCGCGAGGGGATTCACCGCTTGGACCGACTCAAGTTCACAGCTCGCTAGCGCCGCGGCACAACAACTAAATCTGTTATTATAACCAACACAGACACCTACGTCTTAAATTTAATTAATAAATAGACCAAATGAAACGCCACTGAGTTTCGGAAGATCTTAGTATTTTTTTTTTCATCTAATTATACGCACGTTTTATAAAATACGTCTTTGTATCAAAGTGATGTCAGCGGGCTTAACCAGAAATTAGCTGACGAACTTCCTTTATAAATATGATTGCTTTCTAGAACTTACTTGGAGTTTGGTAAAATACTTACACAATACTTTGAGACTTAATTTTATCTTACATTGCATTTTTTCTAATTACTCGCTAGCCTTACACAAGTGGAAGTTGGGCTCAACACCATTTGTAACCTTCTGTCTTACCTTGAGTATGAATGAACTACTATTATGTATTAGGTATCACATACTACGCTGCTAACGTGTTAGTTCCCATCGCGTCCCGCAATGATAACTCACTGCATTTAACCCGTTGATACCCGATTATTATATAATTATTAATTATATATTAGGCCTCCGTTGAAAGTCATCTATATAAAATATGCTTGTAGATTAGCAAATGTTTTTAAAACTCATACGACAGTCAATGGTGGACTCTTTCGTTGTTTTGTTACGAAATGGGAACAAACAGTTGTGCAATAAAGAGGAATCAACACCGAAAATAACCTAATAAATAGACAGTGAAATTGATATTATATGATATTACTTTTTTTTTTAAATTCGAAACTATTCGGATAAACACCCAAAGCTGCTCCGATGCCTGTTTATTTACCTATTTATTGCAATCTTTTGTTTAGCCGACAGCTAAATCATTGAAAATTACGTTCAGAAATCGAGTTTTTTTATTAATATTTTATATATTAAACCTTTTTGCACCGGCTTTATTTTCACTGTCTATCTTGATGTTTGCGATTACATACGGCACCGATTTGCTATTGGATTATATATACGGTTGAATTTACGGAATGCTTTGTAAGGTGAAATCTTAAGGCTATAAATTTTAATAGAATCTATTTTTAAAATTTTTAATTTGATTGCGATTGGCTCGGTTTAAAAACGCTGTCGTATGTTCTCACAACGGTAATGAACATGCGTTAGGGAGACGATATCGCTGAGGCTATACTTTATAAAACTATTAAGGAGCGTACGCTAAGCTAACTACTAGAGAAACAGATCCAAAAGACAAGGAAGTATTTGATGAGCAAACGTATTTTCAAAGTTTAATAATTTTACAACAATACAGCCTTCCAGCAATAAAGAGTAGGTGTTGTGCAATGCAATTATTTGACTAGAACTTTGACGTATGAAGTAATAGTAACACATTTAGTCGATGTCTCGAGTAGTCGCGACGTAAGAACACTTCGATCCGTCCGTTCCGATTTACGAACCGCGGTTGCGTCCCAATACTGAATGCAACTTTTAAATATTGAGCATTTGACTAGAATTCGAGCATTGAGTATCGACACAACACCAAATTGAAGTATTTTCACGCGCGGACATATAACTTACGTATTATTTCCTATGGAAGATTTCATTTCTTCAATTTGTGTCTTAACTATTGGAATAGCGTACGACTCGGCCACTGTTTTGTATTTTGTGCCCATGTCCGAGACTAAGGCCATTCCTTATCACCTATACCATGATTAAGCTTACTGAATAGAAAATGCTATCAGCTTTTTCCATCACTATTTTTATTTGGACAGTCAACGGTTCACGCAATATCATCGGATTAATCAATTGATTTACTTATTAAATATGGGCCATTAACCTTGTATTTGTACGCGTGATTGCATGATTCCTCCCACAGAACGCAAGTAGAAATGTCATCTGAGTGTAATGGAACGTGGTTCACACACACGATCACACACGCTCGCCTAACTGACATATGTCAACGTCAATGTCAAAAAAGCGCGAAAGCTCAACTCTCACATCTCATTTCTACCGAATATTACAAAAATACTCGACCATTCTGTGATTCCACTTATTACCATACTTTATTAATTAAGATCATTCGCCACGTGTATTTTTATTTTTATTTTGCTAATTTCACAGCCTCAATGTCAATTAGCCTATGCGTATTAGAGTATTGTTTCTGGATTGCCAATAATTACGTTTATTTTTAATATTATTTTTTAAATTTCTTAAAAAATGCATCAAAACACCATTCAAAAAGTAGCAGTTATGCTATTGATAATAGGTCTGATTATCCCTTGTCAATTATCGGGGTTCTTTACTTTCGACGATATCTACATACATCGTAGATATATTGCGATTCTAAAGCATTAATGACTACCGATTTCGGAACGTACTTTTCATTTAAATCCGTCACGAAAAAATGAACTATTAAAAGTTCCAAATGGTGTTTTAAATTTATTGCTTTTAAACAGCCTTCTTAATTTTTCTAAACTTATGTCGTGAATACGAGACAGTGAGTCGATAGTCATAAACGCCTCGATCACATTCTATTAGTAGAACGTTTTGCAAGTCGGCCGCTTAAATCTATGAAGATATGAATTACAGTATATTAAAATACATATAAAAATATTAAGTTAATTATATTGTAGCATACCTACCCGTGTGTAATGATTTAAAAATTCACAATTTATTTTATTATTGCTTCTCCAGTTTTCATTTATTCTAGAAATAGGCTCTCGCCCTCTACCTATTGAGCACTATTATTAATTTAACATTATTATTATTTTATTAATTATGTCCGAAAGAAGAGGGGAACGCACAAAACATTCTACTAATACTAGCACTAAGTGACTATTTGATCGCCTACCAAAATCCTAACCAACATGTCGCTCCAAAATATTTGCGTTTCACATTTATATTATTTATTATCTAAAAAGTCGATGAGTTTTCATTACAATACTTTGGTGTTATTGTTTCGATTCAAACGTACACTTTTACGTAAAGTGAAAAATACTAGAAAGTAACCGAAACGGAACGTATTTAATTAACGTATATTTAAAGTAATCCAAATGATGGATGTCGAACGAAATATTATTTTTAAATAATCAACGTCGATTAATCGCCCGATATATTTCCCTAATAAATAAATCAATTTGGGTCACCTTTCTTTACCTCACGAATTAAAATACAAAATATATTAAATAAGTTAAATGCACACCTACTATAAATAGACGTAAAATACAATTAATTGCACGTACACTAAATGAATGAGAGTTAATCTAAGAACAAAGATTGAAAAATTATTATTATAGTTATTCGTCAACATTAATTCGACTCAGTTATATAATAGTTCCGCGTAACGGAACGTTACTAGTATAGATTCTGAGTCGAAACAACACAAAATACAACAACTATATATTAACCTAAGAGACGACTACAATAGAATATTATTAATTAGTCTGCAAAACTTGTGCATCACACTCCGACCACTCTTACAGTTTTACCAACCGTACGAAATTACCGAATCAATAAATAAATCAAACATTTACATAATAACCACGCGTCGTTCTGTCGCAAATTATTGGTTTTTTTATAAAAATTATGACAATTTTTTTTTCGTAACCGAATGACGCGCGGTGAAAGGTAACTCACAATTCATCTAAAGTAATACAGTACATCTAATAATAAAACATATTATGACTAAATTGGAATGTAAGCGGATAGAAGCTGGATCAAATAAAGCGATTTTTTTTTAATTTTTCATTAAATAGATAAAGAAATCGAAATCGTGGCTCGCAAAATCTCTCGGGTAAACGAAGTTTACAATAAATAGTAAACAAACGCGGCACACGCAGTAACCCACAGACACTATGTCTACCGACGCCTCTTCGAGTCATTTTCTTTAATATATTTTTATTAATTACTGGCTATCAGTTATTGCACGTTTTACATTTATAATAAATATATAAATACTTGTAAATTTAAATCTCCATCTTTGGTAAGTAATGAGTACCTATTTATTAATATCTGAAATGTTACAAAACTGTTTTTATATATTAAGTATATATTTTTTTTACAAAAATCGTAGGGTCGTTAGGACGGCACGATAATATATCTATTCAAGTTCGATGTTTTTTCGGGTTGAAGTCATTATTTGTGATCGGTGGCGCATCTGACGGTGACGCGAGAGCATTATTTTATATATATTTAAACAACTTTTTTCTATTTACAAATTTTCATTTAAACTAAGACAATTAAAGCCTACTTCGAATAGACGCAGGTTCGCATCCATACATTATTAATATAGCAGGTACCGATCATAATATGTTTAGATATCGATTTTTTTACGAAACGACATCGTTAGACTAGTATGCACCATTGTTCCGCGAACGGACCATTCTCTCACCGTGTGACCGGCTTATTTCCCTCTCGCTCGCGCGCGGGCGGTGCGAGGGGGACGCCACCCCTTCGCATCCAACCGCCCACTTTACTCCCTCCCCCCACTCCCCGTCCCCCCTCGCCCGGGCTCGGAAGAGCTCCATCGATTTTCCATCTTTTGATTGCGCGTGCCATCTGACACCGCCCTTAAGCGTAATCCGATTTCTAGTCACCTCAAAATGTTTCTCAAAAACTAACCTACCTACGCCCTCCTGGTCGCGCGGCCACGCAACAGCGGCCGCGAAGCCATCATCAATTCATATCCCGAGATCTTTCTTTTATTTTTTTAAAATTTTATCAAAACCTATCACAGTTTTTGATTAGTTTTCATTCTTAATTAGATTAATATATGATTAAAATATAAGTATAGATAATATATATTTTTTCCAATCTTTAACAATAACTCTATTTTAGTTGGATCGAGCGCCTCACCGGAGGCTTTTGGCCGGTCTGCTATCTACGTACAGTGAGCGACAGAGACGAATAGTGACAATATATTTGGCAAACATTATCGATTAGAGCCAAGCCGGCCGCCGTACAAACGATATGATCGCCTTTGTGAGAGTAGCATTAGGCTATTATTGCTAATTTATTAATCGATAACTATTTCTCGATTACCACAACCTTTCATAAGCGAAGTTGATTGTCACGTTATTGACTATTAATATGTATGGTTGTCATCGTCAGAGCATTAGATGCTTCGTCTTAAAGTATTATTGCGCGCTCGATCTCCTCGTCCGGCGCCCGTCATGTCGCCCCGGAGGTCGTCCGGACATGCGCGGTGGCCTCACGCCATTTTGATTTCCGTAACACTTAACCCAGTTGAGAGAAAATGGCGGGCGTCGAACAAAGAGGTACAATGAGCTAATCAATTAAATATACAATTAATGTACAAAATGCCCTTGTGGGCCGTCTAGTTGGGAAGACAGTCTGATCAGGTCCTTGGCGGTGATGATCTCCGCCGGAATTATGAGTATGTATGGGTGCGCGCCTGCAGTGCCGTCCTAGCGTCCTGCTAGGCCGTGTCCGACGATTTAGATCGTCTTGATCTTGTTCGTCTTGAAACTGACCTGAAGCACTCTGTTCCCGAGCGTGTAGCCGTTGAGGGACTGGATCGCCACGACCGCTTCGTCGTAGTTCGTCATAGTAATGAACCCGTACCCTTTGCACTTGTTCGTTTGTAGATCGCGAATCACTTTCACGCTCTGGACGGCGCCAAAAGGCCCGAATAGCTGCCAGAGGACATTCTCCTCCGTTTCCGGGGCGAGGTTGTAAACAAAGATGCACCATTCAGAGCCGACGGCGCCCGGCAGCACGCCTCCCAGTAGTTCGCCAGCGAGCGGACTGTAACGTTGGAGACCTTTGTTAATAGCGAGAAGGGACTTGCCTGAACTGAATCTGCCCAAAGGGGCCGGGAATCGTAGCGCTGCCGGCAGGTAGGCGGCGAGCGGCGCCAGGGCTTTTCCATTGTTGCTTGGATTATTAGCAAACTTCACTGTGATTGGTTCTGTCGCTCCCTTAGGCACTGTTCCGTTTAACTCTTGAATTGCCCTCTCAGCTTCCACTCTTTGATCAAAACGGATGAATCCAACTCCTTTCGACAGTCCCTGCTCTCCACCAGTGAAAGGACGCCCTCCTGAATTCTCACAGAGAATGCGCGATGTGATGATACGGCCGTACGGACTGAATAATCTCTCTAACTCAGATTGAGTCATTGTTTTAGGTAGGCCTGAGACGTACAAATTTGCCCCTTTGATGGCCTCGCTACTCGGTCTCGCGTATGATACCTTGATAGTTTTATTTTGGAGCCTGAGTCCGTTTAGGGTGGCGATCGCCTTCTCTGCATCTTCAGGACGGTGGTAGTTGACGAAGGCATATCCCAAGCTCTGTCCGCCGCCGTGCAGTGCATGGTTTAACGCATCCGGAAATGCCGCTCCCTTATTACGTATCAACTTGCAGGACTCAACTTCGCCGATACTAGAAAATAGGCTCCTAATTTCCTCCTGGGTCATGCTCTGTGGCAGGTAGTTGATGATGAGGTTAGTCTTGGACTCCTCACCAGAGCCATTTTGCTGTTCACCGTCGCCTTTCGACATGGTGGCTTAAATCATAAACGGAAAGAACGAAAGGGAAACAAAACGCGGTAAAAATAAAACACGGCACGTCCGTTACGGCGGCCCGCGAGAATGATTATGCGAGGGTTGGAAGCGGGGTGCGCGCATGCCCGGGCTATCGATCCGCCTTACATAACCCGGTTCGTTCACCCCTCCTCGTTGGTATAGTGTCCGAAAAAACCAGATATAACGGATCGATTTATCCCGGGAGCTAGCTCGGAACTAGGCAGCTCGCGCGTACACGAAACTCGACCTTAAAAGCGAAGGACAAAGGAATTAACCACCTTACCCATCCCAACGACCTAAAAAGCTCGCTCCTTGATATTTCAGTAATAAAATGTGACCCCAAAGATTTCTGGAGCAACTCTGAAGTGTTATTATTTATTGCGCTAAATTGTTTCTATTCGATAATTGTTTCGTTTGGCAAAGGATTTTTGGAAATTATTTACTATAATGACTTCTGAAGAGATAAAGATGTTTTTCATCAATATTTATACAGCTGGCTCTTTTAAAAAAAACGTGTATCCGAAAAATATACCCATAACCCATTTGGTATCTATTGATATTAATTTTTTCTGTACATATTTAAAACTAGCGACTTACCCTCGCATTACTCGGGTTCGTCCTTAGACACGATTTAATTTTTTTAAGCGGAACCCTAATTATTTTTCTAAAATAAAAGTAGCCTAAGTTACTTCTTATAACATCAGCTATCTGTCTGTGAAAGTCCCGTAAATGTCGGTCCAGCCGTTTCGGAGATTAGCCGGAACAAACAGACATTGTGTTTTTCTTATAAGTCCCGTATATAATTCAATTCAAATTTATTTACGATACAATTATACTATATTTTAAAAGTTACATTTCAACATACTTATAAATTTTCTTTTAATAATCGTGTATTTTTTCTAAATTTAAAAAATTCAAATATTTTTGCACTTAATACCTACTGGCTTTTGCCCGATTCTTCGCTTTCGTAGCTTATTTATGTATGTAGGTACTAAAGTTTGCTCCGTTCCTTAGAGTCGAATTGTGATGTTAGATTGAATAAGTAGATACTTGTCTCTATATCTCCCTATAAATAGACAAAAATGTACCAAGAGTTTTTTTTATAAATCTTGCTAATACTTCCAGAGATTAACGTTCAAACGAACAAAAAACTCAGCTTTTAATATCAGGAGTAAATTCATCGATATTATGGGCATATTGACATGTACCTACATGCGTACCTATGTTATTTCAATATTTAGGAACAAATTATTGACAAAACCAAAAAAAGAAGAATTTAATAATCTATACATAATATAATAAAATTGTAACTGAGTCGAATCTGTATTCTGTACATTAAATATTTTTTGGAAAATCTTATTGAAATAATCATTATTATCGATACTCATGCCGAATCTATAGTTTTTAGCCTTTTTTCTGTCTATCCGCCTGGGAACGCATCACGAAAAAAGCACTGGACTAAGCTATGGATTTTGATGAAATTTTAGTATGATGATAGCTATTTTTTACTGATGGAAAATAACTCATCTCTGAGAAATATATATTAAACGTGAAAACGTATCTGAAGAAGAATCCGAGTGGAGCAAGGGTGAGTCGCTAGTTATATTATAAAACAAACGTCCCCATCAAAATTATTAGAAAAAAATTGTTACTTAAATATTTACAGTTTATAAATAGCTAGTTCACATAAAGGTCAGTGATTGTTGTGAAAAAGTTGGGCAGTTCTGAAAGGTCAAAAAACTATTACACAATAGTAAAACTTTTTTGTATTAACGTAAATCAGAAATTTAATAAATTCATCCCCGTTTTAGGAACCTCTGCTTTTTCTAGATACCGCCTTTAAGACGCACTTCACCCAAGTAAGTATATATTTTATGAGTAATACATGAGTTTTATAACATGTATGTATGTATATATATATATATATATATATATATGTATATATATATATATATATATATATATATATATATATATATATGTATATATATATATATATATATATATATATATATATACTAGCGGCTCACCCACGCTTCGCTCGGGTTCACCTCTAGAAAAGCACAAACAGATCTATCCCACGGGAACCGTTCGTTTATCCGGGATAAAAATAAGTAACCTGTTGTTTGACCTGCAATATAAGGTATCAGGATGCCAAATTTTACTAAATTAGGTGCATAAGTTGTTGTGTACTGAGCTGTATAAGTTACTATAATTTTTTAACTATCCCACGGAAACTCTTTAATTTTCCGGAATGAAAAGTATCAAATTTCATTTAAATAGGTTCAATAGTATCGGAGATTAGCCCGTACGAACAGACAAACAGACAGAGAAACAAAAAAATTGAAAAAAAAACTGGATTTTTTCTATTTCTCTTATTATGGATGTAAGAAGAGAACTGACTCGTTTTTTAGCTATTTTTTCTACCATCTATGTACAGACATTCGACCTCTACAGTTTTATTATTCATATATGACCATACCCATATTCAGATAGAATAAATAACGTATAATAAAACAGAAATATATAATAATGAAAATAGTTATAGCGAGTGTACCTTAGGAGATAGACATATACTATCGTATGTAGAACTTTTCTATAGACCTTTTTAAGACTTACAATTTTCTTGTACAATGTTTTGATCTATCTCTTAAGGTTGAGCCAACGTTAGCAATATAAATTTCTAAGGACAATTCGATAGAACCAGTTATTGTATTTTCCCGTGGGAATGAATAATTTGCCTGTCGTAAAAAGTATTCTTAATGTTGACCCGAGCACTAAGTTTTATCACTATACAAAATGAAGTTAAAATCGGTTGAGTACTTTTTGCGTGAAACGCGCACATCGATTTGAGTAAGTTTTATTATAGGTATAGATAAGAATAAATATTGCGAGTGTAACTTAGAAGATAGACATATACTATTCAGAACTTTTCTGTAGGACTTTTCAAGACCTACAATTTTTTAGTATATTGTTTTGATGTATGTCTTAAGGCTTAGCCAGAGGAAGGTTTCTTGGGAGGACTCGATAAAACCAGTTATTATATTTTCCCGTGGGAAAGAAAGATTTTCTTTAAGTAAAAGGTATCTAGGCAGTGGTATCCCAATGGTAACGCGCTCGCTTGGGAAACCGAGTGAAGCAAGTTCAAATCCCGGGTCTAGCACTTCTGATATTGGCCAGCGTGGTGGACTATGGCCTGATTCACCTCGTACTGAAGGGAGGCCCGTGCGTGTGTTAAAAAGGGCTGAATACAACATACATACATACATACATACATACATACATACATACAAAAGGTATCTTAAATGTTGACTCGAGTAATAAGTTATCACTTCACCAAATTTCGTTGAAATTGGTACATTACTTTTCGCGTGAAACGCGCACACAAAAACAGACAAACAGACATACAGGCAAATAGACAAACAGACAATTTTTTTAATAACTATTGTTTTGGGGTCTATGTTGTGTACATAATACGTTACAAATAAACAAAAACATCTATCCCACGGGAAAAGTACGTTTTTCCGGGATAAAAAGTTACCTATTTGTTGTTCTGATGTTTGAACTATATTATTGTAAAGTTTCATCAAAATCCAATCAGTGGTTTTTGTGTACTAAGGCTGTATAAGTTACTATAGTTTTTTGACTATCCCACGGAAACTCTTTAATTTTCCGGGATGAAAAGTAGCTTATTTGTTTTTGTTATGTATAAACTATATTATTGTAAAGTTTTATTAAAATCCAATCAGTAGTTTTTGTGTACTAAGATGTATAAGTTGTTATAGTTTTTTAACTATCCCACGGGAACCCTTTAATTTTTCAGAATGAAAAGTATCTAAGATGTTGCCCGGGGATATAAGGTACCACTATGCAAAATTTCATTTAAATAGGTTCAATAGATCCGGAGATTAGCCCGTACAAAGAGAAAAACAGATAAACAGCTCGCTCGGGTTCGTCCATACATACGAATATGTTGTATTATCTCTTTAACCATTTGTCCAAATTATATGCAGTAAAAGGGAAAAGTCTTTTATTTTAAGCATTTTAGACGATAAATTTACTTATTTTGATAAGAATTCATAATTGTTGATAATATGACCAATAAACATGACCTACCGATTTAAATGATTTTTTTAATATAAAAAACTACTTTTTGTGACTTAAATATAAAAGTTAGACATATGCTGTCGTTGCCTTTTTTGTAGGCATTATTAAGCTCTACAACATTTCTCTAGAACATAATCATATATCTCTCATCGTTGAGGCAGCGTTCGTAAGAAACGTTTTCGTTCGACCGTTTTTTCTCCGACTTACTTTGCAAATCCGACTACCACGAAAAAGCCTTTTCATTTTTCGGGTTAATATATAGCCTATGACACTCAGAAAGAACGTGGCTTTCTATTGGTAAAAGAATTTTGAAAATCGGTTCAGTAGATCCAGAGATTACCCCCTACAACGTCACAAACTCACAAACTCACAAGATCACAAACTTTACCTCTTTATAATATTAGTATAGATATAGACATTAAAATCGAAACGTTATTATGACTTAATTATATTCTATAACTAGCGGTTCACCCTCGCTTCGCTCGGGTTCGCCTCTAGAAAAACACTAATAGAAATCTATTAGTTCCCACGGGAACCGTTCATTTTTCCCGGATGAAAAGTAACCTGTTGTTGGAACGGCAACATAAGGTATCAGAATGTTAAATTTTACTAAAGTAGGTGCATAAGTCGTATAAGTTATTATAGTTTATTAACTATCCCACGGGAGCTCTTTAATTTTCCGGGATGAAAAGTAGCTGATTTGTTTTTGTCATGTATGAACTATATTATTGTAAAGTTTCATCAAAATCCAATCAGTAGTTTTTGTGTACTAAGCTGTATAAGTTGTTATAGTTTTTTTTAACTATCCCACGGGCACTTTTTAATTTTTCGGGATGAATCTAATCTAAGATATTGCCCGGGGATATAAG